CGTTGAGAAGAAAATTTTGCATCGTTTTGCAGCAAAAAAAAAAAAGCATACATTCAGGAAAAATGAACCAACCTGTTGGTGCAGAGGGTCTGCTTGTTGCGAATATTGTTGCACGTGAGGTTTGAGAGGACACCTGCTGCACATGCCGTTGTCGACTCCTCACCAGCCGCAACAACCTCTATCAGACTAATTATCAGTGGCCCTAAACTGTCCTCATTTGTTGCCGCATCCGACAGATTTCGCACCGCACAAAGCACCGCAAACTGCGTCCGATCGTCGACGTTGTGGATGAAATCGCCCAAAACATTTAGTGCTCCTGAAGCGGATTTTAATAATAAAAAAATGTTTCAATAAACTACTATCCTTCACCTCTAACTCTTTTTCCCGCCCTCTTCCTCTCCCCACCCTCGTATTAGGCAGTCTTTGACCGTAAAAAAGTTCAATTTTCCCACGCATACAGCACAAAAAGTCCAAAATTTCAGGCTGGGCTAAATTCTTCAACACCAAAAAAATTTGAGAGAACAAGGTATCCATGATTTTAAAGGGACGGTAGGAAGTAACCGGAAGGCTAGTCTAATCTACCAACTCAAATGTATGCAGTGGTGTAACTGCAGAAAGCACAAGATCACACTCGATAGAAAAATTGCCTGCTGCATAGAATGAAATCAAGATTGTGCATCAGACAGGCAAAAATCAAAAAATAAAAAAATTATAAAAACTAAAAAATTCACGAAATCAGCTTTTGAAAAGAAATAAAAATCACATTTTTGAGTTAAAATAATATTTCAGCAGGAATAAATTAGTAAAATCTGGTAAATAGCTGCAGACTTTCTACGGCTGATTTTTCTACGGTTAAGCCAAGATTATTTGGTTTTTATAAGAAAAATCCGCTAAATTTCTTCCTTTCCTTCTTCGTTCTCTGTAAAACTGAATAGGACAGATGAATGTTGATCAAATCGGATTTACTCTGACCAAATAGTCAATAACGACAATCTTCTACATCTTACCAAGAGAAATAAGAGCAGTTTTGTTCTGTGGGCATACTGAAATTGCTCGAATGCAGCGAACCACCGTGTAGATAAGCTTCGGATAATGGCGATGTGTGTTCAGAAGAACGATAAGTGCAGATGGACCACCCAAAGACAGGAACGAGAGTTTACTCTGGGGATGATCGAGCAAAAGCAGATACAGTGAATCGGCCAGCAACGCCAGGAAACGTGGATTGTTTTCATGAAGCAAAGGTGCCATTGCTTCCAAACCGCCGCATGCTCTTGTTTCCTGCAAAGAAAAACCTTGAAATTTAGAAAAATTCAGCTTACTTCAAATCCATAAAGCAGCATTTGTGGGCAATCTACGCAGCAAAACGACCCAAGCTAGAAATAATAACAGGCAAAGCTTTGCTGAATACATTCATTTGAGTTTTTACCGAGTTTTATTAAAATTTCCTCACTGCGTAAATTGATTCTGAATTAGCTACTTCTCCAGCCTATTGCGAGTCACTCAGTTTGCTCTCCGATTTCTCTTTCTTTCGCATATCTGACTGTTCAGTACATGGCGCATAAAAGGATGTACTGCTGATTCCCGATCCAACCCGCATGCATTGCTCGGTTTGTATTTACAGCTAAGGGATGAAACACAAAATACATCACAAAATGTCCTCCGGCACATGACACTTGAGACCAGTCTTTCTATTCTAATATTTTATAATGAATAAAAACGAACCTCCTTGGCGTAATCCATGAAAAGAAGCAAATTATGAAGCGTTGTGATGGCGTAATGACGAACTGCATCCACTGGAATTCCAAGCATTCGAACAAGCTCCGGAATACCACCAGAACGGAAAATATGCATGCGGCCCTCGGCACGTTCCGAAATATGTGAGAGGGCGCCGAGAGCGTCTCGTCGTATCGCATCGTTCTCGTAACTTAGAAAATTGTCCGTCAAATTTTAAATTTTCCCACAAAAAAACTAAAAAAATGTAATAATGTTCAAGGTGCAGGACATGGCGAAGTAGTAAGGTCACGGGTTCAAACTCTCATCTCCGCAAATACAGAACATATCCCTTTCCAAGTCGTCCATTCATTTCCACGGCATTTTAGTACTGGCGCACTATTGGGGATCAAAATCGCCCTTAGCCTGCTTATAAGCAATCTTTAAAAACCGAAACCATCGATAGCATTACCAAAATGCTGTTACTTCCGAGTGTCTCCACCTCTCACAGAGGCGAACAAGGTTTAACACCCGACTTTTTGTAAAGTTTTAATTTCTGGTTTTCTGAATTTCGAATTTCGTATTTGAGCTAGCTAAAGCCTTGCTGTAAGTTAAAGCTCTACTAATACGAAATCTCTTGGATTTTTCCTGTGAGAGAGTCAAAGTCTGTGTATTTGTTCAAGCAGAAAAGACGTAAAAAGTGCGACTAAGAAATTTTCAAAAAAAAAAAGAAAAAAAAAACGTGAAAAACAGTAAAAATTACCGAGTAGCTGTGCACAACGCATCGACAAGTGTTGGATTTGAAGCAATCGCATTCACCGATTTTCTTTCACGCGAAAGCATATGTACCATATGTACAGCGCGCATAACCACTGTCTGTAACAAATATGCAAAATTTTGATCAAACTACTATACTGCCGTAATTTATACATAAGAAAAATATAAGAAATGCTAATCTCCGTGTCACTGGTGGGCTGCTTGCTACTGCAAATCGCCCTC